ATGATGTGAATTCTAAAGAAAGATTGGAGCTGGGCAAAATATTTTCTAGTGATGCTAAACGAGAAGAAAAGGAATTATCAAAACCAGAGGTCCTGAAACATTTGAAAAACAGACCATATAGTGACGTACATTCAACAACTTGGCCGAATGATGAACTTTAGTACTACATGTACATATAAAGGTATAAGTGTACAATCATGTTTGTATAAACACATACATCAAACATTAAATCTACTATATAGAAATACAAACATGCAATTACTAATGACAACATATGCAATTATACAATCACAGAAATAAAGTGGTACAAAAATACAATGATGTATTTATATAAGTAATGTACATGCAATGAATTCATGGTGCAAATGAATTTTGCATCCTTTCTCCTCTCCGAGAAAACAGGGAATTAAAAGATAAAGAAAACCACATTGCTTCCCACGCCTTCCCTCTACCCTCTCATCTAACTCTTTCTCAAACTCTAATAATTTTCTGAAACATTTTTTATCTTGTTCATAATGGTGCGTGATGTTTGTATTTATTATTGAAAAAACGAATAAAAAGATAAAAGAATGTCTTGGTTTTTATACAACGCTTTATTTTTGAAATTTTCATACATACAAAAGAACACAAAAATACGCACACTTTCAAATGCAAATACTTTTGCATGGCTCAGACTCAGTAATTACCATTTCGTTGGCTTTCAAATGATCAATCACATGATAAGAAACACATCATACATGCATATGTATATGTTCGTTCTTTGTGTTTTAATAAATATTTTATGTATGGGTAACAAATATGTACAGGATTTTCGTGTGATGTGATGGTGATGGTGATGGTTTAGACCAAACAATTGCAATTTTGCCAAATGTCTTTTAAAAGATGTTTTTTTTATTTTGATTGTCTACGTAATATTCTTAGACATTTGATTTTTAACAGAATTAGATACCATATGTCTTAAAATGTGCAGAGGTGAAAATGGAACATATGGAGCTTACGAACAGTATCTAAGATCAAAAGTCCATAAAACAATGCAAAATAGGAGCAGAGTAAACACAGACCTCAAAAGCATCGAAGGTGGGATCAGTTGTCATAAAATCATAAAATCATATACATGTACTTGTCGATCCCTTTAATCCAGTTTAGTTCAATCACGTAGTTAAATTATATGTTGGACGCAATTCACATGGATGGATTCTAGATATAAATGATATCAAAAATAATTTATTAGAATTCCTAATTTCAATCAGAATTTTTTTTTAAATTGACATGTTCTCCACATTCCTTTCATAAGTAATCGTTTACTTTGAGTTTTAAATTCAAGTCAATAATTTACTAGATGTAAAGGTGCAAAGATACCGAACAGTGATCGATGTCTATAAATCTGTAATCAAAACAACTCTATGGGCATAAAACATGGGCCCTGGAAATTCCAGAAGGGGAAATCAGGTGTCAAGAATGAATGAACTTTCACTATAGACTGGTCACACCCGCCGTAAGCCCTATGTGTTCATCAGGTACATAGAAAATTTTGTATTCCAATTCAGTATAAAAACAAACATCTTACATTTGGTATGAAACACGTCAGCCACAATACGACCCAATGATAGGTTCTTTTTGTTAGAAAAAAACTGTATACATAGTTATTTTCGCTACATATTATTTTCGTCCTTTTGCATTTGCAAAAAAGAAAATTTGCTTTTAAAGAAATTATACTGTGTTCTTTAAATTCGCCCCGTTCTTAATTTGCCAAACCATGAAGAGTGGGGGGGGGGGGGTTTAAAACGGGGCCGAAATTTTCCCAGTATTTTCCTTGTATATATTAGTCATTATAATAACCAATGACGAAGTACTGACCTTTTTGAATCCCTGTAATCTCAACTTATCTGTCAGTAGTCTGTTTTACTGAACGTACTCAGAGCATGCTCTTGAACACAGTTGAATATGTAAACACCAGATGCAAGAGAAAGCTGGATATTACTACATAAACGAGTTCATGATGACAATGTTGAAGTAAAATCGTTTATTATACAGTTAAATTGTTACTTGGTCCTTATTGTCTTTAGTCAGTTAAACCTCCAGAAATGAAACAGATATATAAAAAAAAAACTCTGTGGTGTCTTTATTTTCAAGTTCACTGGGATATATTGAGTCGACATATAATGATAACTTTTATTCAATGTTTCAGGTTCATAGCTTCTTCTTCTCAGGTAGAAGTTTTTAAATTACTCCAGCATCAGGGAAATATACAAAAACAGATAAGGAATGATAAACCTCCAGAAATGAAACAGATATATTAAAAAAAAACTCTGTGGTGTCTTTATTTTCAAGTTCACTGGGATATATTGAGTCGACATATAATGATAACTTTTATTCAATGTTTCAGGTTCATAGCTTCTTCTTCTCAGGTAGAAGTTTTTAAATTACTCCAGCATCAGGGAAATATACAAAAACAGATAAGGAATGATAAGGAATGTGCATGAATAAAAATCTCCGCCATGATCAGATACGTATCATAAAGATACAATTAAAAAGAATTTTTAAATAACATCATCAATGCACTCTAGGTTCATTTTAAGTATTAATTGAAGTACAACTAATTGATATTATTTATACTCTCAAAAGATAATACATGCATATCTTAAATGTACAATGAAATAAAAGATCGAATTTTCAAACTGATGTAACTTCATTTTTATTTAAAATTTGGAAAATTATTTTTTTAAGCTTTTCAATATGGAGATAAAAACAAAACAACACAAATTAGCATTCTAGAAACGAAAAAAATGACATTTTACAGAGGAATTAACAGTACATTCATTTTTTTTTCAAACATGTGTAATATTTCCTCCTACAAACCTTGCTAAGTTAGAAGTATTGTGTTCCGTCCTGGATGTTTAAACAACCATATATCAATGCTAAAATATAGAAAGCTGCTTATTTACATGGTGCTCTTCTATGAAGATGACAACAAATGCATCTAATAGGTAATTTGACTCTTACAGATATCCAAAAATAAATAAATTTTACATTCTATTTCATGACATCAAAGGAATAACTAGAATTGTTATCTGTGCAGACAGATTTGTTGTCTTTTTAAATTGTCTTTCTTATTTTGTGTAGGTACAACTATTCCTGCTGCTTTAACCAATATCTAGAACCAAAGAGTAATGCCTGCACTGGTATGTATTACTTCAGAAATGTTTTCGACCATAAATTCATATTTGAAAAGAAATGGTCATTTGCACAGGCGCTTGAGGTTTTAAACCATTCTTTTCATAAATGAAAAATTTTTCATACTAATTTGATAACGTAATTATTTAATTATAGGGATTTTTTGACATATGAAAAGGTTAAAACTTCAAGCACCTGAGGTCATTTGTATCAAAAGTAACCAAGTCTTGTTCAAAGTTTTTTTTACGTTTTCTATGGAAACAATTAGTTCACTCAAGTTTCCTTACACGCTAGAATGTCCAGTTGGATCTTTTGGTTTGAACTGTAGACAGAGATGTCCGCCGAGATATTATGGACGGTTGTGTCTGTCCGTCTGTGAGTGTCCTGACTCAGTCTGTAATAATGTTACTGGATGCGTTACAGGTAAATCCTTTATTCAGAATTTAGATCAAATTTGGTACTAGTATAGTAGTAGATCACTGATAGAAAAGAAGAAAGGGACAAATTAAAATAACGTATGTTTTAATAATTATGGGTTCAAAATGATATCAGTTACCATTTAGATTTGCTACTATTACAATTTTTTTTTACCTATTTAATCAGAAAACAGCGCAAGTTTTCCTTTTATATCAACCGTCATTTCATCTCAAACAACCAAAATTGCTGAAAGGACACGTATAACGGGAGATATTCAAACCAAGATAACGTCCCGTCCGTTTCCAGCAAAACAACATGATCAAAATAAAAATGTCAGCCATCACGATGACACGTGGATAGCTGTAAGCTCTTCCCTGATTGGTTCGCTGGTAACACTCATTCTGATTGGATGTGTTCTGTACTTCCGATCTCGGTAAGCTGACAGATTTTGTATCTGATATGGTTTTAATGCCATCTGAATATGTAATTAAAAGTATCAAAATAAGGGATTACTCTGTAATTTTATGATAATTTGTTTTAAGGTAGGATTCTTCTCATATTATTTGGAATTTTAAAATTATTGAAATTTTCACAGAATCAAGAAGACAATATCACTAAGTGAATGTATAAGTGATATTCAATTTGACCATTTTATATTAGAGGCAAGGTCAGGTAAAGGTCATTACCTTTTCACTGGTCATTAAGAATTTTTTTCTATTTGCATAAAAAGATAGTACCATATAGGGTCTACAAGATGATAATACCAAATAGACACAATTAGTTTAACAAAAATGGATTTTGGCTAACACACATTTCCTCTATTTTTAATTTTTTTTAAAAAGCAGTTATGCTTCAATATGCGCCCTATATTTCTTTTTTTTTATTTTCACATATGGTAAAGAAGTCATATAGAGATACAAAATGATACAAAAACAAAAAGTTTTGGCTGTTCAGTAAGAAGTTAAAAACACTTTCTATGAATTTTTGGCTCATATCTGTACTGAGATTGGAAGCTATTAAAAGCTAACATAATTATAGTTTGTTTGGAAATTCATATTTATTTGATATATTTTGAAACTGAAGTTCATTATTAATAATTTCGCTACCGTTTGAAAAAATTCTTATAGTCTTTAATTGTGTAAATATTACAACTAAATTCAAAATTGTTCTATGAGCAAACACGAGAGGCAGAACATCAGAATATATTTTCCGCCATGGAAAAGTGAGCATCCCTGCTGTTTTCGAACACAATTTACCATTTCTATTTAAAGTTGTGTAATTGTTCAGGAAATAAGAAAAATTCGGTCTTTTAAATCTCTTTCACCTAACTATATATGGACTAAGCAAATATATGAAGATTTACTAACAAGTGGTATGAAAAAAGAAGAATCCTATTTATAGTATTAAGAAGGAATTCAAACATTATTAATTGTTTTTGTTTTTTTATGTCTTGCCAAATACCTGCAAATAAATTAACCACATATACATACATATACTCAATCCGAAAAAAAAAAATTAAAAAATGATAAATAGTTAAGAACTATATGATTATAGGCAACACTTATTTAAGTATTTTTGAAACAGACCTATAACAATTAAATAATTTGTTTGTCTGTTTTTCTTTTTTAAATAGAAAAGTCTTCATGTGTAAAGATAACACAGTAAAAACAAATAAAAATGCCATAAAATATGTGAACATTTAAAATTTTGGTTGTTTTACCTTTAAGTGCCAACCTCTTGAGGCGAGGATAAATGGATGTTTTTGCAAGGATTTGAGAAACAAATATGAGTTAATTGAGCAAATCTTTGCGGCGGAAAAATAATACAAATTGCAAGGAAAAGACCCAACTTTACGTAAAGAAATTAAAGATTACAAGTTACAGTAGTTTTCATGGGTGGGGCAGCATTGCGATATTTGGCTTCCACTGAAATATATTTTACATCATACTTTCTCAACTTGTTAATTATTTGATATCATCGTATTTGAGTTGAAAGGATTAACCATTGAAATGTTACATGTAAAATTTGTAGGACGGAGAAGTGGGTGGAGATATAAATATGAAATTACATGATCAAGCAATTAAAAATCAAAGAAGGGGAAATCCCCGCGTCATTGTTTCCAGAATTAACACTATTCTCACTCTCCTAAGAAAAAGATCATTGCCTTTGCATAGACGTGGAATTGACATATTTGATGTCATCTTGGACATGTTTATTGCATTTTCATTAATAACTGACCACAGCTAATTGTAAACAGACTGGAAATACCCTTACTTCTATTTAAAGTAGACAAACAACTTGCGCAGATTCACAAAATCTGACGATATACATTGTCCTGATGAATAGAACTTTTAATTTTTGATGAAATGTTTTGAAACTCATTATATGAAGATATATAAGTTGTGTGGATAAGACGACATGGCCAAATTTGCATGTACTCACTTGCATGCACGTGCGCTTTGCTCTGATTGGCTGAAACAGAAATCTTAATATCTTTTTTGTTTTATGATGAAATGCTTTGAAACTTATAACATAGACATGTATTAGAATGTACTACAATATAATATATAAAATTTTTCATGAAATCACGCGCATTGCAAACATGAAACAATAGGAAAGGTAAGACTACAAACTGTTCGTTTATCATTCCTTTCAATTTTTTTAAGCATATAATTGATTATATGAACATATATTATAATTGTAAATCACAGGATTAAGTATATTGACCGTAACAGTACTGAATGTCCTCGGGAAAAAATAATAAAATTCAGTGATATAGTAAAAAAAATCAAATGTTTTTGACCCTTTATTTTCTTTCGTTTTTTAATCATCAATTTCGATAAATCCAGTGTATTGTCATTAATAAGTACAAACCTATTCTAACAAACCATCACATCTTTTAAAATATTGAAATCTAAATGACAGCACTAGTCAAAAACATTATTTAATTTATATGAATCATTTACATGTACTAGTAGCTAAGTCTCCACCAAGCAAAAATTTGTAACATATACAAAAACATGTAAAAATTTCAATCGGATATGACAGAAAGCAAGGATTTATTCTGAAGGGTCTATATTTCCTTTCAAAGTTTTTTTATGGAGTTTTGATATAGGAATCATTTTCCTTTCGCAAAGGTACATGTGCCAAAATGAACTCCTTACTACTCTCCCTTCTGGTGGCCTGTGTGGTTCTCGCTGTTTCACTCCTCCGCAAATAAATATATTTTCTTGACTAATTTATTGAAAAACAAAGAAAAAGAATATACTGTAGGATTGTTGCTTTCGTTACAAATCGCATTTTTATTCAAAACATACAAATCAAACTCATAAATTTTACAAGATAAACAATACAAGGGCTGGGAGGACATGCAGGAAAGCCAAAGACACAAAACAATCTGCGGTTAACGGTTTTCTTGACATTTAAACCTGCACCATGTATGATGGAGGTATGGAATTGAGACTAGATAAGAACACCTTTCTAGTGATCATAGGTAGTGCCCCTTATGTTGTTAGGACAATAACATGTGAAGACCGGGAGTTGAAGGTAGGGTGTATGTCATTTTCTTTAAGGAAAACTGATTTACGATTTGAAATAAAATCCTAATTGGTTTAATTCAATTTTTGGCTAAATGTTAATATCGTTTAAGAGTTACCTACATTGTAGCTAAAAGTTTTATAACAAAAATGCTACTCGTAAAAGTCCTTTAATTGAACATTGCCCAGTAAAAGTATTTATAGTGAGCGCTAAATAGCTCACCATGCAATTTAAAAGTTTTTGTTTTTGTTTCACGGAGAATACCGTATATAGTAAAACCGTAAAGAAATAAATATAACATTATATTAAACACAAGGAAAAAATAAAACTAGAATAGATATTGGCTAGGAACTTTTTTTTAAACTTATAACCTTTAATTTTTAGGATATATATTAGTTATTTTTATATGATTCCTATATTTGAATTTTTCTCATTTTTACACATGGTAAAGTTGTTACATAAAGATACAAAAGACTTTAAAAACAAAAAGTTTTGATCGTTTTCTAAGAGAAAAAAAATATTTTTTACAGATTTTTGGCTAAAATCTGTACTCAGATCGGAAGCTTATAAAAGCTTATATAGTTCTAATTTGTTTGAAAAATCATATTTAATTGATTTATTTTTGAACCTTTGTTTGATTATTATAAATTAAACATATATAAAAATTTCTTCAAGTCTTTGAAAATGATTGTGAAAAAATTAAACTAAAATATTGTTCTATAATAATTTTGTAGTCCCTGATAGTTTTCAAATGCAGTTTACCATTTCTGTTTAAAGTTGTACAATTGTGATGAGGAAAGAAAAATATAGTCTTTTAAAGATAAATAACACAAACAAACTTTTTCAGAAATCAGCATTAATTTTCATAGATTTACATTTAAATTGACAACCTGAATAATGTTTACCAAGTAGAGTGGGATAATTATATAAGATTTTGTCATAAGGTTAAAACATTTTGCAAAATTTTGTATGGGATTATATAGAAGGCAAAACAAAATCTCATATATAAGCACCAAGGAAAACCTACGATTTCTTTATATTTCAGGGATTTATTATTTATGTCATTTCAAATCAAAATCAGTCAAAAAATATATATCAACCCGCGCATCCATTTTTTGTTTGTGGTAAGTACCCTTAGATCTCTCACACCTAAATATATAAGAAATATAAGTAAATGTACTTTGAACAATCCATCTGGTCAGAAACTAGAGAAGAATCCTACCTTAAACAGTAATGGGGTTTGCCATATATCTAGGTAAACCATGTCCATCAAGGTTCATTACTTGTCTTATTACCATAATTTTTATTTTCATATTTTCATGATATACAGGGGAAACATTAATTTTCTTTCTTTAGAAAGAAGCTTAAATTGAAATTTCCGAAAAGAATTCAAAGGATTTTATTTTCTCGCACAGATGAAGGTATGTTTATTTCATTCATTAGGATAGCATGTGTAAAGAACATATTACTTGTACAAAATGATATTTTGGAAATCTATTCTGACTATGTTTACGTTGTATAGACTATAATCTACTGTATTATGATTATGGGATTACGTAATCACAAATACTTATGATTAAGTAGTGAGTCCAATGTATTTATTTGAAAACATTTAATCAATAATATTGGAATCCTTTTCATCTCTTTTATAGTTCATTCGTCGATGAAATAAAAGTGGGGACTGTTGATAAAACTTCTACTTTTCTAGCAAAATTCCAGTTCGATTTCTGATTTAGATTTTTTGATTACCTTTAAACGTCCTTTTTTCTCTCAACAACAATATTATACAGATACCTTTAAGTGTTTTCTGTTATTCTCAGTGATTTTTGTTCTCCGATTTTGGTGGTTCTCTGTATAAATTATTATAATTAATTGGGTTGTATTGGATGAAGTAATTGGATATAAATAACCATCTAAACACGGTTTCTTTAAACTAGGACCTTTTTGTATTTCAAAATAAATAAGGCTTTATTGTAATGTTGCATGTATATCTATATTTTACAGAAAGAAATATACATCTTCTTCAAGAGGATCATCACCCTCCATCCACTGTCACCACATTTAGCAGATGCCAAGATGACGATACTTATATGGAAATACGGTGTTCTCAAATTTCTGGAGCATGCTCAGCAACATGCTTAGATACAATAAACAAGAAGAAGAAAGAACACATGGCTTCCAAAGAACTTAGAAATGTTTCTAGAACTACAAATTTGTACGGAAAATGTTCATTTGAAAATGAATATGACCATGTTAAGCTAAGAGTAAAATCAAGCATTCCTGAGTTGTCTCATCTGAAATTCGGAATAGGAAAAGATCTGGATTATGTCCTTCTATCTGAAAAAAGTCGATTTCAAAAACAGTCGTCATTTCATGACGAAAGCAGCAAATCTTTGACTTTACCTTCCAGTTGTAAAACAGTTAAACAAAAATTACAACAACATTCCTACAGTTTATGCCATGCTAAATCAGAAAATGAGTTGGAAGATGAAAGGATTCCAAACGAAAAAGAAAAGAAGTCAATTAAATCAAATTCAGACATTTCAGTGACAACAAAAGATCCCGGGTTTAAGGAGGGCAGTCGGCCGTACAGTTTGGCTCATTCATTGTCCCATAATGATTTAAGTTTAGATGACGAAGGAAAATTAGGAAGCGATCCATTCAGTAGTGTTACACCGGAAGTAAAGAAAGATTTGGAAAGAAAGAACCCAGAGAATTTGATAAACAGTCGATATAGCTTTGTTGAAAAATTGGTAGATTGAAAACAAATTTAAAAACAATATTGTTAATAAAGTCTAATATAAAGCATAAAAGTTTTTACAATTTTTTTACACAGTCTTATGTCAGGACAAATTTATTTCTAAAATTGTTTTAACTACCGGTATCTCTCGACAAACATTCAAAGCAATATAAACAAAAACAATATTTTTTAAAAATTTAATAAACTTAGGTTTTTAGACTTAGACGTTCTTTTGGAAAGGGACTTTTTTTGTTTTAGGGGGCATACAAAATATTTACTCATTAAAGAAGGACGTGATATACATTTTAAAATCGTTTGCAAACAAGCACTGTCGTGAGAGACATCGAGTCTTACGATTTTTTTTATTAATTTATTTATTTATTTTCTTTTTGGAAAGACTTATTCTACAATTTCCTGGCTCTGGGTCATATGCTTGTCACAAAGAAGATTGTGAGAAGTACGTGGAAGTCTTTTTTGGCAATGAAGGCATTTTCTCCTGTACTAATCAATTACAAGTTAAATTTCAGGAATTCAAAGTCTTTATAAATCATTACACAGAATCTAGAACCCAAGTTTAATATAAAAAGCACTGAAAAATTCAATCTGCTTGTCATTTAGAAGTTTTTACCTGCATTTTGGAGAAATGAGTAAAACATAATAAAGTTCAGTAGATAATGGAAATCTAATTATTATGATATCAATACATTTTTCTTATATTTTCTCTTGAGTTATTGCAGTTATTGCATTTATGAAATATATATTAATGAACAGTTTCGATTGTAATAAGTTGTGTCTCTGTTTAGGTAATAAGAATATTTTTGTGAAATTGTGACAAGAAAGGTATATTTATCGATGAGATTTTATTTACTGTCCTACATATATATCTATGTGTTTCACACAATAAACTTCAATGCAGTTATTCGAAAGAAACACTTGTATCTGTAAGTATTCTTATATTTCCTTGTTGAAAATTATATTGAAGAAGGCCAGTTCAATGTTTAATTCCTACATATGGTATTTAAACAAAGATTTATAACTGTGTAAAAAGCTATCAATTTGTTTTCCGGTTTTAAAGTTCAAGGACTTCAAATGAAGTGAAAATCCTTAGCGACCGAGATAAATTAAGGGAAATTTACTTCTTAATGAGTACTTAAAACAATTATATACAAGTTCTAGGTACTTTGTTATGAAGAGACTAGGGTACGCCCTACTGTGAAGATAAATGTAAAACCCCCACTTTCATTACACTCTTAAGCTATTCAATCTGGGATTAAGTAGACTTTTCATTAA